ACATGGGATCCGAACCCCCGGCGGGAGCCCCCCCACCCCCCCAAGCGGCGCACTCTCCAGTGCGCCACCGGGCCGGCCCATTCCCACCAATTTCTAAAGAATAAACTAGCCTGCATTTTTTAAACCGTAAGTCAAAAGAATTCTGAAGAATCTTATAAATGTATAGACAAAAGAGATCATTCTCCTTAAAGTTTACACAGGGCAAACCTGAAGTTAAAATGATCTTCATAAGCTATCATATAGTGCTGTAAAGTAGTTATGTTCAGTTTTCAAGACTATTTTATGGTTTTTAACTAAGGTAAGTTAATATCACATAATGCAAAAAGATAAACATGTAATTCTATTAGGACCAATTTTAAGCAAAATAAATAAAATATCTCTATATATCCACCTCTCTACTATACAAAAAGGCTAATTCAAAGTCACTTGCCATTTTTGTGGGAAGTCTTTTGCACTGTCATCGGTGGGCAAGACTGGGCAGGTAATATGTCTGAAGAAGCAGCAGAGCCTGTATGATGAGCCTTAACCTTGTCAGCCCAACTGACACCTGTGGGAGTCAGACGGGAAGCAGCCACTGTGCCAGGTGAACCTCTATGGAAAAAAATGAATACATTTAATAAATCAAATATAAAAGTAATAATTTTAAATATATGCTAAGTAAATTTTAATTTTAATTTAATTATGTGTGTGTCCACATATATAGAGCAACACACCATCTTACCAACTTAAGGCAACTGTATTCACAAATTTATCTAGATCTAATACTTCATTAATTTTATACAATATAACAGTGTATGGGAGTAAAGAGAAGGGAATAAGAATAATATAGAAGCCCTCATTAGTTGTTTAAGTGAAAAATTCACTTAAGGGCCAGCCCATGGCTCACTTGGGAGAGTGTGGTGCTGATAACACCAAGGCCAAGGGTTCAGATCCCTATATAGGGATGGCTAGTTGGCTCACTTGGGAGAGCCTGGTGCTGACAACACCAAGTCAAGAGTTAAGATCCCCGGGCCGGCCCGGTGGCGCACTGCTACAGTGCACCGCTTGGGAGCGCGGCGGCGCTCCC